GCACGTAATTTTTCTTAGGTATTGTAGTACGTCTGTTATATTTTAAGTCATATTACTATCACGTAAATCCTCCCATGCGAAAACTCTATAGAAAAATACTGGCTTGCTGTTTGTATGTTTAAATAAACATTTAGCCACATCCATTCCAACCTGTTAGCCATTACTCACAAAAATAAAAGTCACAACACAATTACACCTTTCGCATGATTATGTTTACAGATTGTTGAAAATACGTACATCCTACAATTGGATGATAAGTGCCACAAATGAACGAACGAATGAATGAATGATGCATGCGAATAATGCAATTATTGTCAATAATAAACAAAGACGTTTCAATGCCGTCAAACTTCTTCCTAGCAGTTGTCGATATCTTTTGATTGGAGTTAAATTTATGATTTGCAATAGTGATTGGATCAATTTGATCACTTTCTTCGTCTTTATTAAATGTACCATATTAGGAATTTAGATTGTAGCCTTGCTAGTAATGCAGGTTCGTAAAGTGAATAATAATTTCAAGGGCACTCTCTTTTTAACTGTCAAATGCTTACTTTTGAAAGTAATATTAAAATTTAAATTATAAACATCATGGCTAGTATATTAAATATGTGTATGTTTTAAATCGTTATTTACTTTAAAGGAAAAAAATATGTAGCGAAAAAGGAAAATGAATAGGGTAAGTGTGCCTAAGTTCGGCATGTCCCAGTAGTCGGCACTTTTTATTTTTAAGCCCAAATAAATGAAACTTTTATAACTAAATGTATTTTGTTTACTTCAAATATATTGTTAGCTATCTTTGTGTACAATTTCGCTAAGAAAAGATAATTTATTCTAATATTGCCAAGTGGTGCCGACTACTGGCAAAAAAGCATTGTTTTAATAAAACTACAAATTTATGAAATTTAATAAAAAGTTATTAAAACTTTATTTATTATTGCAAAAACTATACAAAATTTCGAATCTGAATAAATTAACTTTGTAATAATTGAAAAGTTCCACTCAGAATGGTGAGCGATTAAAAACGCGAAAATCCTAAAAGTGCCGACTACCGGTACACTTACCCTATCAACTACATTATTATTATTTTTCTTCTTGTTTCTTTTCTTTCTTCTTTTTCATACTCTCCACCATACGTAGTACATTAAGTTCGTCATTCCGTTTGTAACTAATCGAAATAATAAATTTAGACCCAACAAAGTATAAATATTCTTGATCAGCGTAAAATTCCAAGACGATTTAGCCCTGTCCGTCCGTCTGTTGTTATCATGCTACAGTCAAAACGAATTAAGATAGAATGCTAAGATAGAGTGCTACTCGTGCGACAGCTGTTAAAATTATTCCAGTGACAGCTCATTATATTCCAGTGACAGCTCAAAAAACATTTTGGTGAGAATTTTCCAGAAAAATAGTTATTCGTGATGGAATTCAAGCCTGATATTGTGATTTTTTTATATTTGGCTGGAAAACCGCAAGTGGCTATCGTTAGAGCACTCCAGCATTTAAATGTGAATAAATCTTTTATGTCTCTATTACCATCGCTCGTTACCGTGATACTGGTATCGTAGCCCGACGTTAAGGAAGTGGACGGAAGAAAACAACAACATCAGCAGAAATGGTTCGAAAAATAAAGAAGCGACTTGATCGAAACTCATGAGCTGAACATATCGCAATATTCCATTCGGCATATATTGAAAAATGAGCTCGGGGCAAAGCCATTGAAATTCCCAAAATTGCAAGAACTTACACCGCAAGAACCTCAACAGAAAGAAAATAGACACAAAAGAGTTGCTTCGCTTGGCCGAAAGCGGTGAACTGCCGAATTTGGTTTTCTCCGATGAGAAAACATTCGTTGTCCAGCAGTTTGTAAACAAATAAAATGATCGTGTTTACTTGGCAAAGAGGTCAACTGAAAATGTGCAGATTCGATTGGCCACCAGAACTCAATCGCCGGCCATGGTAAGGGTGTGAGCCGCCATAACAGCCGTGGCATCAGAATAAATGAATAAATGACGAAAATATTGTGGAGGGTGTATTAAAGCCTTGGGCACGCAAACATTTTGGCCGCAGACCTTGGACATTCCAACAGGACTCAGCACCATCGCACTCAGCACTCGCCACCCAAGAATTACAAAATGAGGTTCCTTGCTTCATTTCCAGCGCACAATGGCCACCAAAATCTCCGGATACCAATTGGTTGGACTATTGTGTCTGGAGTATTTTGGAAAGCAAGGTTGGCATTAAAAAATACCAAAGTGTCGATCACCTCAAGCAAGCGTTTCGCCGGGAATGGTCCAAAATACCGCAATGTTCGGAACAGCTAAAAAGCCTATGACACAAATTAATTATGCAACGGTTTTGATTTTAGTGGTATTTTGCGACAGATTTTTTTTTTTTTGAATTTTGCAAGTTGTTCCAAATGGTGGATGGTATAAAAAAACAACGCCTTTGAAGCATTTGCGACTCTGCAGTGCTTCGCAGTACAAATCAAGTTGTATTTAATATGGTGTAATTGTGATGTAATCAAATTTGGTATTTGAAGTTTTAACGGATACTACAGCCTGTGTCAGAAAATTGTCTGTGCAGGTCCACGTCTTCGTATAGCCCTCATGTAACGGTATCTGCCGATATTCTGTATTTTGGTAATTTAAGCGACATTATTCGGCTATATTCTGTATTTTTAAAATTTTAACAGATTTTTTATGCATCGCCACGTCTTCGTAATTATTTTTTCAATTAATTTGTTCAAGTTTGTTCCAAATGGTGGAGGGTATAAAAAACAACGCCTTTGAAACATTTGCGACTTTGCAGTGCTTCGCAATAACAATTAAAACCTTAGTTTTAAAACCTGAAAATTTACTATGATGACTTCATACATTTTATTAAAAAGTTTTGTCAAACTAAACAAATTGTGTATTTTGAGAAGTAAAAAGCCCTAACACGAACTGTTGAACCGTATCTAAGATTTTAAAGTGAATTTTTGATTGGCAAAAGGTGTGTCTGGTTACCCTAAAATTGGTAACAATTGTTACAAATTGTTACTGGAAGTCGTCTTTTAACCCAAAAGTTCTGCAAAAGAGAGCGGTCGGAGAGAGAAATTTTGACAGTTCTTTCAGTGAGAGTTTGCAAATTCTTGCTGGAAAAATTTCTTCTTGCAATCACTTGCAACTCTTCTTCTTCACATTCATCGACATTCAATCAGATGTTTTCTATTGCTTGTTCATTTCTTTTTGTGCTTTCAATTTAATTTTTTTTTTTTTTTGGAATGGGCAAGACTAATTGTTTTTTGAGATAAACTTGACAAAATGTGAAAAACGTAAATATTAATATGTAATAAGAAAATAAAAGGCTAATTCCAAGGTTTTTAGACAAACGCCATTAGCAACAAATTGAAAGGACTCCGGGGAACACATAAAATCTATCTTTCTTTTATTGCTCATATTTTTGTTTAATTGCTAATTTCCTTTTTATTTAAAAAAAACTTGTAAAATTGGTGGTCCTTCCTTTCATTTTATTTTTATAATAGGGGACATATTGGTTAGTTTTGACAAATCAGCTGATTAGTTGCAAGCTTTTGCAGGAATACCGTCTGTTTACTTTTCGCATTTTCTTTGCAAAAGAGAATAAAACTACCTTACTCTCTCAGAAAGATTTTGCTGGACAATTCCTGCAGGAAAAGTAACCAGACACACCTAAAGTAGCGAGCACAATATTTATTCCAATGCAATTAATATGGCCCATTATGTCTGAATACTCTCCCATAAGAGGTCATCATTTTGCAAAATTGTAAGTCTTAAACTTAGTGTATCCATATCTCATATCAAGTGGAGGAAGTTGTCAATACAGCCCATGCATGGTACATCCTTAAATTTATGTCAGATGCGAAAATTTTGTTTTTTACCAACATGTATTGATCTGTACCAGAACCAGCAGGTATCTACTAGTTTTTCAATTTATTTTTGAGATATCATAAAGGAAAAATCGATTATTTAGTCAACATTTTAGGATTGTTGAAGTTCTGAAACAGAGCATATATTTGCTATGTACCCGAATCTGCAAGGATCAACTAGTTTCGAAAAGAAAAAATCGATCATAGCAGTAGCATTTTTACATTCCTACAGTTTTGGAACAGAACAATTGAGTCCATTGTAAGCAAATAAATCAGAGATGGGAACCAATTTTCAATTAAATTATATTAAACAAAGTAAATTACTGAAAATTTGGAGAAAAACTTACTAAATTATATACGCCAAACTAAAACGACTCTCAAATTCATTGGATTTCATTTGATAGCAATTAAAAGCCACTGGTTTTATTATTTCTCTGTTCCAGAACTACAAGAATGAGAAAGTTTTTGCTATGATAACACAATTTTCCTTTATGACATTGAAATTAATAATAAACTAGTAGATTCTTAAAGTTTCTGGAACAGGTCATATGTGTGTCCGGCGTTTTACTATTTGAAATGAGGTTACCTTGATCTACATAATTGTAAATGTATGTGTACAACGTTGCAATGTAAAATTTGTGTAGCAATTTTAGAGGCTAAATTCTTCTTTGATAAGTACCACACGGAAAAACTTTTGACTCAAAATCTAGACTAAGGGCTGAATTCATTTCCTTTGTGTACTTATTAATTTGGCTTTGATTGGAATCTTAAAATTTACTTTCTTTTCATTCAAAACTTTTGTTTATAGTTTGCGTTATTTCTTTATTATCTTACAATAGCTAAGTTAATAAGCAAGTTATATTAAACACTTATAGCAGTTTTTGACATTTACATTCGTTGATCTTTAAAACGCTTTTTTTTTAATGTATACCTTATTTAAATATAAATGCCGACAAGTGTTATTACATGCGCTTTCAATGTAAGCAAAGCTTTCGTATAAGCAATAAATGCATTTTGTAAAGGTTGCATTGAGTTGCCAACCATAATGATGTTTCCACCCTTTGTTCAGTTATCGATAACTAAATAGACAATTCCGATTACATACAATCGAATCGAATAAAATTGGCCATCTCTAGTGAAGACATCAAAGGAAAAAATTATTATTGCTAAATCCAAGTGGAAAAATTATTCAATTTCTGTCTTACAATTTAGCCAAATAAATTAAAATAGCTGAAAAGTAGAGCTACATTAAACGTCCAGCAGAGAAAAGTGTTAACAACAAGGTAGAGTTAGGTCTCCGGCGTTTGTGAAAAAGTGTTTTCTCGAAAGCAACAAATTGAAAGGAAAACACCCTAATTCAACGAAGAAGAAGAGAAAAACCAAAATAGAGTAGCAAGAAAATCCATATATTAATATTTGTTTATCTACTACATTGTGGCAGTTTGCATTTGTTTGTGTGATTGTGTGCATATGGAAGTATCTGTTTAATTAATTGGAGGTTTTATTTGTTTTAAAATTTTAGTACTCTCTAATCGCTGTACATTCACAAGTGGTCGTCCCTCAACCCTAAAATGTCTCAAGCTGGAACAGTGGGCACACCATCAGCTTTAAATAATGGTTTCAACAAAGTATTTATCCAGCGCGATTACAGCGAAGGAACGGCAGTCAAATTCCACACCAGATTACCTCCAGAGCTGGAGGGTTTGGTAAGTAATGAATAATTGGAGGAGCCTCTTAAGAATTGGTCGTATATTGGACGGCTTTTAGTCCAAGAAACATTTATGATCTGTCAGAGTCACCAGAGGGTTTTACTGAAAAATAGACTAGACTAGTTACACAATTAATTTGCAGGAAATTGTTTCAGAACTTATGTAGGTAGCTAGAGGACGAATTAAAATGGACTTGAAGGAACAATGGTGAAAACGAATTTGTCCATCTTGGCTGGAAGCAGAAAAGTCTATTTGGTTTGCTACGAACTTCGAAAGATTTGGAGCTAACATGTTCTATGGAACCTAAGTAGCTTGGTCTGGTACTGACCATTAATTAGGATCAAAAAGGAACACCCAAATAGGGGTACGGTTGAACTTCACTGCACTATACTATAGTGGTAACTCAATGGGTAAAAGCGGCAATCTTAGAAAGTATGTAATACACCAGCTGTTCAAATACACTATGGATTCCAATGTGCATGTTAAAGCTTTCGAATCGGGTTTTGCATTTTGGTAGAGTTCTAGAGGCGAGAAACGCTCTGAGACTTCGGAAACGATCTTTGCATAAAGTCGCAACTTGGAACTATGTCGGTCTGCAGGCTAAAATTTGTTGGAACGTTAAATAAAACCAGTAAGGAGAGGTCAAAAGACGGGCGGGGCCGACTATACATTATACCCTACACCACTATGCATATTTAATAGAGTTCTCTTAACAAAAAAGTTAATATTGGCAATTTATGTGCAGTAGATAATACAAATATGAAACTTATCATTGCTTTAGATCAGTAATAATTTGCTTTCAGAGGGAATTAATATATGAGAAATATATCCAATTCTTAATCAGATTTCACCAAATTTGACGGAGGCATTTTTGCTTCTCATACCAAATAACACTGCTATAGAGGTCGTGGAATCTCTTCCAGAGGACTATATTAAAAAAATTATATCGAAGGCGAGTCTCAGCAAATGGAAAAAATCGCATCTGAAAAAAATTGACAGAGGTATTTCTGAGCTCTATGAGACATCTGGTACCAAATAACATTATTGTAGATTGCATATTACGAATGTGAGGAATTTAAACACCAAATCGTATGGAACATATGTATATACAGGAGCTATAGCTATATCTGAACCGATTTTCTCCAAGATTGATGTACTTGCTTCTAGGCTGAATTCGTTCGGATGTGCCAAATATATATAGCAGCTACATCTAAATGTTAACCGATCTTGATCAAATTTGGCAGAGGTATTTCTGGGCTGTATCTGATATCTGGTAAGAAATATTTTTCTTGTGGAGTTTATATTATGAATGTATGGGACTTGAATGAAAAATATATATGAGAGCTATAGCTATGTCTGACCAGATTTTCACCATATTTGATGTGTTGAATTCCGTCGGATATGTTAAAATTCTATCGGCCATTTGATGCACAAATAACCCGAAGATATATATGGGAGCTATATCTAAATTTAAACATATTCTCAGCAATTTTAATAGGGTTCGTCCTTGGGCAAAACAAATGTTGTTTGGTAAATTTCATCTCAATCGGATAATAAATGCGACCTGCATTTTCTTCACAAAAATGCATGAACAGGCGGACTGTCATGAGTAAATCGACTTAGAAAGTGGTTCTATGAAAATCCTCAAAAGTAATTATGGGTCTCTTTCGCTTCTTCTCCATGTTACAAACAAAAATACACAAAGACATAATACCCTTTCACTTTGTGGTGTAGGGTATAAAAAGCAAGACTAAAATGTCTCGGCAAGTATTGGGCTAAAATACGACATTTTTTCCATTTGAATTTGTTGTCTGGTCGGAGAGCGCAACAATTAGATCAATTAGAAGAGCATCTGTAAATGTTTTTAAATGTAAATGTACTCGTCTTTAAACACTTATCGAAATCCTTTAATTTCTCTGTTTTACAGATCGAAAGACACGTCTTTGAGTCTACCATCAATAAACTAAATGAATTTTTTGCTGAAGCTGAAAAAGGGTCATGCAGTACATATTGTGAAGGTTGTATCGGTTGTATAACTGCCTACTTGGTATATATGTGTTCGGAGACACACTATGAAAAAGTAAGTAACCCCAAGTAACCCAACAAATATAAAAAGAAGAATCTCATTTTAATTTCTTCTTTACAGACTCTACGAAAAATATCCAAATATATTGCTTCCCAAAATGAACGCATTTATCATCCCAAAGGTTTACAAATTATTGATCCTACCTATCGTGGTTTGCGAGTAATAGAAATTACAATATTAGATCGTCCCGGACGAACGTGACTTCCGCTTTCCCACTCCACCGAAGAGTTTTTCATGTAACACTCATCAAACTCAATTGCATCGTATTTTGTAAATTTTAAGGAACAAACAAAACACATGGATTTGCGTGTTTCAAACACATTTCTTCTGGTGAATTATTTATGGATTAATTGAATGACAACAATAAGATGAACAACAGCAAAACGACATAACATTTAGCTTTAATAATGTGGACAACATAAAGCTGAGAAAAACATTTTTTCAAAACAAAACAAAAAAATCTTACAGAATTTTGAGAACACTCGATACTTAAATTCATCATATTGACAAAGTCAATATGCACATAATATAGAAAACATAAAATGCCAAGATTAGCCCCCTCAATGTTTAGAGAGAACAAAATTATACAGACATTTATATAGTAAACCATTATAAGTTTATAAATAGTTATAAGCTTATGGTTAAATCCAATAAACTAAGAAGTACGTTTTTCCAAATTTAAAAAAAAAGAAATACGCAACTAAAGTTTAATAAATTTTACGACTAATTGTAGATTTTCCAAAATCTATACCACCATCACGGTGGCATCTCCAGAGTTATGTAAGAGTATCAGTTACCGTTTTTAATCCAAATCATCATCATTGAAAATCATTCATCATCATTATTACTGTCATCGTTTGTTTTTCCATCTCCTTGCCTCTACATTTTCCTGCAATGTTTTAAAAACTTGTTTTTTGTTTTTCTCCTTAATTTATTTATATTTTTAACAATTTTCATAACATGTAGCTATAACTGTAGAGAAAAAGAAGAAGAAAAAAAAACAAACAACAAAAATAAACAAAAAATATTCCTTTACGAAACATTTCAGATAGTAAGCAATGTGTACTAAAAAATATAGAATCAAATAATAGCAAAATATAATTGTCTATTAAGTATTTATAAAAAGCAAGTGAATAAAAAATACATGTTGATTAATTTGTTTTAACTATTTGAGGGACGACGATTAGATCCAGTCACCATTATCGGCCTTCCAATTGTTTATGTCTGTGGAGGCGTTCTCTGTAACAGAGCAGACTCGTCCGACACTGCTAAAATTATTCCAGTGACAGCTCATTATATTGTTTTCAAGCGTACAAAAGCATTTTGGCGAGAATTTTCCAGAAAAAAGTTATGCGTCAAGCGTGATAGTTTGATTTCTTTATATTTGGCTGGAAAACCACATGTGGCTATTGTTAGAGCACTGCAGCATTTAAATGTTAATAAATATTTTGTGTCTCGTACCATCGCTCGTTACCGTGATACTGGTAGCGTAGCTCGACTTCAAGGAAGTGGACAGAAGAAAACAGCAACATCAGCAGAAATGGAATAAATGCCGAATATTATCGCGAAAATATTGTGGAGGCTGTATTAAAGCCTTGGGCACGCAAACATTTTGGCCGCTGACCTTCGACATACCAACAGGACTCAGCACGCACCACCCAAAAATGGTTACAAAATGAAGTTCCGCCATGTGAATTTGTAATCACTCTACAGGTCGCAGTTATGGCCCGATCTTCACGAAATTTAGAATGGATGTGGGGCTAGATCCAGAATAGAGGAGATGATCGCATATTATTTAGGGGTTAAAATGGACCAAAAACTGAAAAATTTCCTGATTTTTCAGTTAATCTACAGGACGCAATTATGGACCAATCGAAGTTAGCATGGGGCAAGAGCTTCAGGCTGGGCAGAAGCCTTCCAATTTTGGTGGTCATCGGGTAATATTTAGTGGATGAAATAGACCATAACATTTCTGTTAAATAAAAGTCTAATTTTTTATTAAACCGCGAATATTTTTAATCCCGGCGAAATCACAAATAGGCGAACAGGTCAATTCTGACCGTAACCTAGAAGCCGATAGTAAATATATCGGATATATGTAGCGAAATATATGCAATGCGTATATAGAAGGGAAAGGGGATGTTAGCTATAATGCTTTTATCTCAAGAATGGCTGGAACGATTTTGACAAATTTTGTCAATTCAGAAGGCCCTCTTGGCATAAAAAAAATTCAAAAAAAATCGTATAAAAAGATGTCAATAATGATGTTAATATAGATTTTGTAGTATTTTGTGACATTTTTTATTTTTTCATTTTTTTATCGCATGCGATTTTTTAATTTGACTTTTAATATTGAAGTGTATATTTTGTAATATTTTTTCACCTTACAACACAGGTTGAGGTTATTATATACAGATTGCAATTATCGTCCGATCCTCACGAAAAGGGTAGGGTTAGGTTCAGAAGGGCTCCTGATTTTGCAGCCGTTATAAAGGTCCCAAATAGAAACCACAGAACACGAAATCTCGCATGAAGTTAGGGTTTAAGACAGCGGTTTGAATGGACCACTACTTTTGTGCAAAAAAATATTGGAGATGATCGCAAAATAGTTAGGGGTTCAATGAATAAAGGTCAAAACGGAAATAAAGGAAACAACAACAATGGATGGAAACCTAAGCCACCTAAACCTCCTAAAAGACCTGGACTAGTAGGATTTTTTACAGGAATTTTCGGAACTATCCGTAAATGGTTTAACTTCTAACTCCGAATAAATATAAATGTAATAATCTTTACGTTATTGTGGGCACATATATTTCAGGACTAAAAATATACACATTTTTTAAAGTGTTTTTAATTGTCTTTTCTTCAATTTTATGCATTTATCAATTTGAATAAAACAAAAATGGGCGTTTGGATTTTTTGTGTACAACATACCTCTGTGAAAAATCTTAATAACAAGTGTCATTAAGGTATTTCTTTAATATTTTTTGAATTATATGGTTCACAGGAACCACAAACAATATTGTCAATATTTGTTGTTGAAGGCTCTGACAGAGATGTCAAAGATTTAAATAACTTGATTTTAAATGACATTTCGTTTTTTGTTTTCATAAATGTCTCCCTTGCTCAGTTCTGTTGCAAATTGCCTAAACTTATATGGGATGGTTATAAAACATTTTCTAAATAGCCATCAACTGATGCAGCATCACATTTGCCTGGACCGTATGGATAAACGTGTACAAAAAATAATACGACGAATCGTTGTCGAATCAAATGACAAACATGTAGTTAGAAAAAAACAGTATTGCGAAATATTGTAAAATGAGTGAAAAATCGCAAGTTGAGACCTCCTCACGCGCTAATAATACAAACTACATATAATTATATAAAAAAATAATAAAACAACAATACTTCAAATCCTTGAGATAATGTTGGAACTAACCCCAAACTACATAAAATCGAGAATTGACCAACTTTGAAAAAAACAAATCTGAAGCTGTGTATATGATTTGAAGTAAGAAACTTTAGACTGCTGCCATTTCTAAGCCATTCGTCCGATAGCTGTTAAAATTAATCCAGTGACAGCTCATTATATTGTTTACAAGCGTACAAAAGCATTTTTGTGCGAATTTTCCAGAAAAAAAGTTATTCGTGATGGAATTCAAGCGTGATACTATGATTTCATTATATTTGGCTGGAAAACCACAAGTGGCTATCGTTAGAGTACTCCAGCATTTAAATGTGAATACATTTTTTGTGTCTCGTACCCTCGCTCGTAACGATGCTGGTAGCGTAGCCCGACGTCAAGCAAGTTGATGGAAGAAATCAACAACATCAGCACAAATGGTTCGAAAAGTAAAGAAGCGACTTGATCGCAACCCGCGTCGCAGTGGCCGAAAAATGGCTCGTGAGCTAACATATCGCAATATTCCCTTCGGCAAATATTGAAAAATGAGTTCAGGGTAAAGCCATTGAAATTCAAAAAGTGCAAGAACCGCAACAGAAAGAAAATAGACTCAAAAGAGCTAAAGAGTTGCTTCGCTTCGCCGAAGGTGGTGAACTGCCGAATTTGGTTTTCTCCGATGAGAAAATATTCGTTGTCCAGCAGTTTGTGAACAAACAAAATGATAGTGTTTACTTGGCAAAGAGGTCAGCTGAAAATGCGCATCTTCCGTTGGCCACCAGAACTCAAGCGCCGGCCATGGTAATGCTGATGGTATGGGTCGCCATAACAGTAGATGGTCGCTCTCCGCTCGTATTAATCGGCCGTGGCATCAGAATAAATGCTGAATATTATCGCGAAAATATTCTGGAGGGTGTATTAAAGCCTTTTGGCCGCAGAACTTGGACATTCCACCAGGACTCAGCACGCGCCGCTCAAGAATGGTTACAAAATGGGGTTCCTCGCTTCATTTCCAGGGCACAATCGCCACCAAAAATCTCCGGACACCAATCCGTTGAACTATTGTGTCTGGAGTATTTTGGAAAGCAAGTTTGGCACTAAAAAATACAAAAGTGTCGATCACCTCAAGTAAGCGCTTCGCCGGGAATGGCCCAAAATACCGCAGAGCAACATTTGGGCAGCGAGTGACGGTTTCATTGGCCATTTGAAGGCCATAATTCGTGACAAAGGTGACATATTCGAACAGATCTAAACTTATACTAAAATTTGATGCTATTTCCGACATTTTTTTCTTTCATTCAATAAAATTTATAAAAATTATGGCGTTTGACTTTGTTTCAAATTTTTTTATCTCACCCCAGCCATATGCTGGGAGTATAAAAAGCGGTTATCGTAGTACAAGTTTTTACATTTTTGCAGTTCTGGAAAATAACAACAGTGAGTTAGGGCAACACATGGTCGACCCAGCACGACTACAGCTTTTAATAATAACAATAATATTGGTAATAACATACAGTGTATGCATAAACTAAAGCATATTTAGTTCCAGAATATTTAGTTTCCATGGTACGCATTTTGACGTATTTTATTCGTGAGAAACGTTGTAATTCTGCACTTTAGTTGTTGGCAATACAGCGCTTGATTACAAACTTGGGAATATTTATCAGAGACACAAACCAAACAAACTCACCACTTTATTCAGCATACGAAGTTAAAATTTTAGACATTTACACAGAAAACTCGCGAACCGTATTAGCATTATTACTAATGCTTTTTTACCGAATTAATAACGAGAATTTTTAACCATTCCCACACTAAAATAAAAACACACACGCGTACTCACAAAAGCTATTTTAACGAAGCGCTCGCATGTCAAACTGGACGACGGAAATGTGGTGATCAAATATAACATAATATAACAGATTTTTAACATAGTTTTAAACGAAAAACCATTTTAAGAATATTAACAGAGAGCGCATATTAAAGGAAATGCAATTTATCTATATCATGGAATTTTATTCTCTTAAAAAGAGAAACCCGACGAAAACTCCGCCCCAAAAAAAAAAAAAAAACAAATACATATGAACAGTGCGGCTAAACTTTAGCAGCTCAAGCTAACGGATTGCGTCTTCCACACACAGACACTCGACATTCTATTCTAATTTAATGCATTTTGGGCACATACTCTCATAAATGGAGAATGAATATTTGAAAGGCTACAGACAAAAAAAAATTACGCGTATTTTCAAAGATTTTTTGACTACATTAAAGCAAATTGTTAAATAATATTATTTTCTTCACATGTTTTAACAACTTTTCCATCAATTTAATTTTCACTTTCACAGACACCGAACTTAATGAATACGACGAAGATACTGAATGGTCTCTCTAATTTCGTAGACTTTGCTGTTGATTAAGATAATAGAGAAAGAGACACGTGGTTATTTGCGGATATTAATACAAAAGAAAATTTTATAGAGAACAATCGGGAGCGCTTCAAATTAAATGTAGAAAAATTATATTTATAAAATATATGAAAACGGTTTTGATTGGAAATTTTTGACAACATAATTTTTATACCCTCCACCATAGTATGGAGGGTATATTAAGTTTGTCATTCTGTTTGTAACACCTCGAAATACACATTATAGATCCTGCAAAGTATGTATATATATTCTTGATCAGCATAAAATTCTATGTTGATTTAGCGATGTCCGTCCGTCTATCTGTCTGTGGAAATCAATGTAGCTTC